CAACGGACTCAAGGAACAAGGAACCGAGCCCGGGGGAGGGGCCAACGCCCAATAACTCATATGAAGAGGGGGAAGGAAAAAACCCCACTCCCCATAACCTCAAGCCCTGCTTGAAGGGGTAGAACAACCCAAGAAAGGACCAACAGGGTCCCGGGCCCCCCAGGCAGCCCCTCCCCAGCCCCAGGAACCCACACGTCAGGCCCCGGAGCCGAGCCGTCCCCCCCAAAGCCCTGGCCTCAAGAAAAACCGGGGCAGCCATGAAAAATACCAAGGAAGGGAGTCCACTGGCAGACTCATACAACACGGCTGGAAGAACAGGCTCGAATGCCCTCGTCGCTACCCTGGAAGGGGAATTCCCTGAGACCACCCGAGTCTCAAAACCATCGAAGCCCCCTCCTCGACCCCGAACATACCAACGGTATGTTACGGGAGGAAGGGTGGGGGGGGGAACAAGGGGGCGTGGAAGGAAACAAAGCAACCAGCACCCCCAAGCCCTGTCACCAAAACAGGGTAGCCTCTGGGCTTCCGGGAAGCAAACAACCTAAAGCGTTGCCAAACCAAAACCCGATGCACAACGCCCGTGATGCCTGCACCCACATAGTCAGCATAAGACTGGGTAAGCAAGCCACAAACGAGCAACAAAACAAGCAGGGCTCCGGATCGAAGGTGCCACCAATCCCACAGGCAGCAGACGGAGGCAAAACACTAAGTGTCACCCTGAGATAAGGGGACAGAGTAACCCTCGACCTCGCACAAAGGGAGGGGAGGACCCTGGGGTCACATCCATCGAACCCACGCGTCCCCGTGGGGGATTCCCAGGGTCCTGAGCGTTTACTTTAAGAGGACTCACGCTCAGGTAAACCCAGGCAGGGTACTGCTAACCGGCGCCCAAAACTACCAAACAACCTAGTAAGAACTGAACCCCCGGGACGTGTACACTCATGGGGACTTAGCAGGGAGAACCACCGGAAGAAGGAAGAGTACTCAGTACACAGGGGGCAAGAACCAAGGCAGATCTCCCCCAGGCAGAAAACAAAAAGAAAAAGAAAACCTCGCAAGAGGACAACGTACCCAGGCAGAACAGACCCGGCCACTAAGATAGGTGAAAACTAGCTGCGCAGTACCCTGCACCCCGCCAGTGCAAACTGCTCCCTACTCCAAGGCGAACAAGGGAGACAGAACACCCGAGCACACAAGGGGCGGCCGAAAACCAAGCAGTAAACAGCCTAGCAGGGGCAGAACCCAAGGAACTTGTGGAAGGGAACCCCAAGCCCCAAGGGCAGTACTTACAGGGCACCTAGGGAAGGAAACCCTAGGCGCATGCAGCCCGAGTACTGAAGAAACACTCCCGGCTCACGCACCACCTAGAAGACAGTCACCACACTTTAGGTACAGTGCTGAAACAACCACCGGAGCCGGAGCACACGACCTCAGCCTTTAGCACCAGCCTTAGAACTGAGGGTGGATAGCCGGCGCAATGGGTCTGGGGCTCCCCCTTCCCCCTCCCGGGAAGGGGAGAGCTGCGCGGACAGCGGTGCGGCGACGTGTGACTAATGATTGTTTGCTCATTTATTTTAGGGGAGTTCTATCCACTTGTTCGGCTTGTGGTACCAATTTTCATCAGAATAGGAGTTTGTTTTGGGACGCTTACCTTTCTGGGTGCCTAATCTTGTCGATGGCAGACATAGAATGCTTCCAACCACATGGGGTTTTCTATAGGCCATTGCTCCCCTTGCATCTTCTGAGGGGGCCAGGTTCTGGCTCGTGGTCCCCGGTAGGCCCATAGAACTCCATACACACATACAATTGTGTGGTGCCCATATCTTAAGAAGCACATCAACAAACTGGAAAAGGTGCAAAGACATGCTACTAAGTGGCTCCCAGAACTGAAGGGCAAGAGCTAGAGGAGAGATTAGAGGCATTAAATATGCCAAAACTAGAAGACAGAAGAAAAAGAGGTGATATGATCACTACATACAAAATAGTAACAGGAATTGATAAAATTGATAGGGAAGATTTCCTGAGACCTGGAACTTTAAGAACAAGAGGTCATAGATTTAAACTAGCTAAACACAGATGCCGAAGAAATATAAGAAAATTCACTTTCACAAACAGAGTGGTAGACGGTTGGAACAAGTTAGGTGAGAAGGTGGTGGAGGCCAAGACTGTCAGCAGTTTCAAAGCATTATATGACAAAGAGAGCTGGGAAGACAGGACACCATGAGCGTAGCTCTAATCCTGTAACTACACTTAGGTAATTACACTTAGGTAATTACACATGACTGATGCCAAAGTCTGACATTAGCATATCAGCCTAGTAAGCTCTGGGGAGCTGAAGGGGCTTCCCCAAGAAACACACTCGATCATTGTAAGAGGAACCGAACTCAAACAAAACCGGGTCTCACAGGATGTACGCACCAAAGGCCTCCCAAACCTCCACAGAGGGAAGCCGAGAGGAAGAAAACCTTTGAAAAGACGAATCCAAGGAACAATAGGGCACTCAGAAACTAACTTTTTCAGGGGGGGAGGGTTCGGGCTAAAATGGCCATAATACGGATGTGATACCAATCGCTGGAGGCTAGGGAGCCAGACGAGTATATAGGGCAAGGATGCTAGGCCCCAAAATCGGTGCCCATAATAAAATAGCGAAAACAAGCCAATGACCAGTCATTGTGGTCATTGGCCAAGGTAATAACATACAGAAGTACTGTACCACACTCACATACACAAGATTAGACTGCCCCAGGAACATAAGAGTAGAAATGAAACACAGGTGGAAACCTGTGAATGTAGGAGTGGGGGGCAAAGGAATGCAAGATGCAGTGATGAGGTGGAGGCTGCAAATGCAGGAACTCAAAAAGCTCAGGAATGTGTACACCATATATACTGGGTATACTGTATATATATATATTATTATATATATATTATATACTGGGTACTTTTGGGACGGTAGAGCGATGGTCTCGCTTCGTGCAGGTCGGCGTTCAATCCTCGACCGTCCTAGTGATTGGGCATCATTCCTGCCCCCGTCCCATCCACAATCCTTATCCTGATCCCTTCCCAGTGCTATATAGTCATAATGGCTTGGCGCTTTCCCCCTGATAGTTCAATTCAATTCTGTTGTATCGTTGGATCACGTGTGCTTGTATGTAGAAGATACAGTGTGTTGTATGCTGTATAATAGAACACTGTAGAGCTTTATTATTTTTTTACCGGAAATTTTTTTTTAATTATATGAACATGTTTGCTGATGATGCTAAGATAATAGGAAGGATAAGGAATTTAGATGACTGTCATGCCCTTCAAGAAGACCTGGACAAAATAAGTATATGGAGCACCACTTGGCAAATGGAATTTAATGTTAATAAATGTCATGTTATGGAATGTGGAATAGGAGAACATAGACCCCACACAACCTATATATTATGTGAGAAATCTTTAAAGAATTCTGATAAAGAAAGAGATCTAGGAGTGGTTCTAGATAGAAAACTATCACCTGAGGACCACATAAAGAATATTGTGCAAGGAGCCTATGCTATGCTTTCTAACTTCAGAATTGCATTTAAATACATGGATGGCGATATTCTAAAGAAATTGTTCATGACTTTTGTTAGGCCAAAGCTAGAATATGCAGCTGTTGTGTGGTGCCCATATCTTAAGAAGCACATCAACAAACTGGAAAAGGTGCAAAGACATGCTACTAAGTGGCTCCCAGAACTGAAGGGCAAGAGCTACGAGGAGAGGTTAGAAGCATTAAATATGCCAAAACTAGAAGACAGAAGAAAAAGAGGTGATATGATCACTACATACAAAATAGTAACAGGAATTGATAAAATCGACAGGGAAGACTTCCTGAGACCTGGAATTTCAAGAACAAGAGGTCATAGATTTAAACTAGCTAAACACAGATGCCGAAGAAATATAAGAAAATTCACCTTCGCAAATAGAGTGGTAGACGGTTGGAACAAGTTAAGTGAGAAGGTGGTGGAGGCCAAGACCGTCAGTAGTTTCAAAGCGTTATATGACAAAGAGTGCTGGGAAGACGGGACACCACGAGCGTAGCTCTCATCCTGTAACTACACTTAGGTAATTACACTTAGGTAATTACCAGTACACCACCAATCAAGGGAGCCGGTCGGCCGAGTGGACAGCACACTGTGCTTGTGATCCTGTGGTCCCGGGTTCGATCCCGGGTGCCGGCAAGAAACAATGGGCAGAGTTTCTTTCACCCTATGCCCCTGTTACCTAGCAGTAAAACAGGTACCTGGGTGTTAGTCAGCTGTCACGGGCTGCTTCCTAGGGGTGGAGGCCTGGTCGAGGACCGGGCCGCGGGGACACTAAAGCCCCAAAATCATCTCAAGATAACCTCAAGATAACCAGTAGAATAATGGATGAGAGGTGGACCCAAAGAGCCGAAGCACAACCTCCGCAATCATAACTAGAAGAGCACAATGAGGCGAGTACAAACTTACCAAAATTACAGACGACACATTGGCAGGGATGAATGAAACATACACCAATTCCCCGTTCGTCCCTACCTATTTCATAACAGTTGCTCCTGAGGCAGGAGCAATGAACAACTTTCAACTTCAATAACCCCCCCCACCCCTGGAGGAAGAGGGTAGTACTATTGAGCGAGAGTGCTAGTTGCACGAAGTGTTGGGTTTCTTTCTAGGTTAGTTATTTTGATATTTTAGGATGTAGATTGCATAGGTTAACCAGACAATGGTCTGTTTTGATTCTCTACCTATCTGGGTCCTTCCCCGGTCGATGGTAATTATGACATACAGTACTTTAAATGTAAAGTGCTCATAGGCCATTGCTCCCTGCACCTCTCTGAGTGGACCCAGTTCTGGCTCGTGGTTCCCGGTAGACATAAGGACTCCTGTGACTGATGACCCCCAAACTAATATAGCACATAACAGTTTGGATAGCTTCAGGGAGCCAATGGGGCTCCCCACAGAACACACACAAAATATACACAGTGCACTACTACCAACCTATTATGCAAAATTGCATCAAGTGTGTATCTTTGGGTAAGATGTGTGACACGTGCGGGATGACCTAAACGCACTAAACGAACACCAGAAACTGTTAACCGCTCTACTAAGTTGTCTACAGCCAAATTGGATGGAGCACACGCTAGAATCTGGAAAAAGTTATAAAATATAGATATAGATACAAAAATTGTGTTTTTTCTAATCTTACAAGGCATAATGAAGTTCTACATACAGCAATGTACAATATATATATATATATAATAAACAGCACAGTAATGTGTATGTCACAGGGGGGAAAACACTTAAAAAGTAAGAGTAAAGATTTCAATCAAAATTTCTACACCATCTATGGAGAAGACACATAATTATTTCTTCTATGGTGTAATATTAATTACATAATGGAATCAAGCTGCTTTTCTGGAAAGGCCCACTAAATAGCTCTCTAATGCTACAACCTGAAAGTGCTTACTATCAAGGCCTGCGATGTTGTGAGACTTAACTCTGTATGCTTCACAGACCTAGCTGTTTATTCCTGGCACACTGATTACTGTTCTTAACATTAACCCCTTGAACTGTGCAACACATCAATAGCTGTGGTGAGTAACTGTCATGGAAGTGCACACCACAGCTATTGATGTGTTGGAGTAGTACCGGGTAAGATTTAAACGACCTGCGGCTACACAGGGTTCACATCAGCTTCCTCAGGGCTTTTGTAAACAGACGCTCTTGTAAACATTTTGGTATCAAATTGTGGGCAACATTCCCTGGCGTGAGAGCATCAGTATTGAGTGAGCAACCAAGGTTGGAGCATGCAACATGAGCTAACAGCATTGCTGTTCAGCTTGTGATCACAGCATCGCCTAAATATGTCAAAACAATATGTAACTGCTATTATTTAGCCATGATAGTACAGTATTACAGAAGAGCCTGACTGTGATAAAGACTGTGTTCAATGTTCAGATATCAGTGAACACAATGCTGTTCAAGGTGTTCACAGCGCTAGCCACAGCACACTGCCATTGTTTCGTCCATCTAAGATTCTTCAAACGACTTCTCATGTTCCTTAAAATAAACTTGTGGAAATTTTTCATTTACAGGATTTAGTGACCAGGATTCTGATAATAGCAGCATTGTGATGAGAACTAGCGATGTGCGTAGTATGGTGGAAGGAGTAATCTTGGTGAGGAGAGTGGGAAAGCTGGTGTCATCTAGTGTTGTCTGCTGGTTGCTGTGTGACGTGTCATACAGTTTTTTGTTGCCACTATGTTGTTTGGATACCATACCAGCTTAGTTGTACAGTTATGGTAAAAAAAAACACAGATACTTATATATAACATGTGTGTATTTAGTGCAATAAAACCACAAACAGTATTGTGGGAGGAGAAATGTTGGCGAGTTAGGGGGTTAAAGGAGTGAGGGAGGGCTGGCTGGGTGTGACAGCCTATTCTTGATGTTTGGAATCACCATACCACCTTAGTAGTTCACTATAGTGAACAAAACATGCAAATACTTATATATAACCTGTGTATATAGTATAATAACAGCAAAACTATTTGTTTATTGTTTTATGAACATAATCAAGGTTTTTGATTATGAACAAAAAGGTTTGTTTTCAGCTTTTCTCTGTCTTTGAGATGTCTTGTCTTATTGACCAAAGTTTGCCAACCTCATCACTGCAATGTCCTGACATATCTAAGCACTTCCGTCATTTGTTTCACTCCATTATATGTCACTCTTAAACCTCGTGTTGTTCAGGGCTAATTAGCATGTGTCACCCACAGGCGTATACCAAAAAAAAATATATACAGGGTATATATTTTTTTCTTCTAAACCTGTTAATTTGTGTTCTCTGATCATGGGGAAAAAAAATCGTAAGTGGCATATATTGCCCGCTATAGGGCGGGGAAGTCTGGCAAAAAACAGGCGCTGACTCAGCGTGCATCCCAGACAGTCTGTTGCTCTCAGCTGTCAGGCAGGAGTGGCCACAAAGAGATAATTACCTAATTATATCAATGTCTCCGACTGATTTTTCGTTAGTTTTTTTTTTTTGCTGTAATATTATTCAATAGTGTATAGTGTGATATATTTATTTAATAAAATGAGTGAATCATCGCTGTACAGTACTCAAAAATATGGTGTGCATATTGTTGATTCAATTATTATGTTCATCAAACAGTGAACAAATACTTTGTCGGTTATTACACTATATACACAGGTTATATATAAGTACAGTGGTACCTCGCATAACGATCGCCCCAAAAGACGAACATTTTGGGTAACGAATGACCCGATCGGCGTCAAATCGTCCCGTATGACGAACGCTGGTTTGAGTAACGTCAACACCACATGGTGGGGTCGTGCTGCTTCTTGCACATTCTTAGACGCCTCCGATGATGCACATAAATTATGTTGTTCTTGTTTAAAGATGCTAATGATGCTGGGATATAAAAGGGTGACTGCTGAGATGTTGCAAAGCATTGACGTTTTTGTAGGAAAAAAGAAATGAAATGTCTGATATACAACAAATGTCAAAAGGTTCGTTCGGTGTTCGGCAGGTAGGCTGCTCCATTATAACAATCTTTCTTTGTTTCAAATGTGTTCCATTTGTTTTGTATTTGTCATTTACGTCTCAATAATGGAGAAGCCTACCTTACATACACTGAATAAACCATTATGACATTTTCCTTTCTTCAAATGTGTTCAATATTTATTTTTCATTTGTCTTATAGCAAAAGGTTCGTTCGGTGGTCGGCAGGTAGGCTGCTCCAGGTTTCTTACATACAAAAAACGTAAATAATAAAAAAAATGAAGAATTTTGAAAACCAGTACAAATGTCAAAAAGGTTCGTTCGGTGGTCTACAGGTCGGCTGCTCCATGTTTCTTAAAAAAAAAAACGAAAAATAAAAGAATTGTTGAAACAATTTGAAAAATGGACAAATGCCATAAAGGTTCGTTCAGTGTTTGTCGGGTAGGCTGCTCCATTATTGAGACGCAAGTGACAAATACAAAACAAATGGAACACATTTGAAACAAAGAAAGATTGTCATAATGGAGCAGCCTACCCAACAAACACTGAACGAACCTTTTGCTATAACGAATATGAAAGACTAGGGCTGCTGGCTGAGTTAGTACTGCAGAGAGCAACCATTTGTAGCACACGTGCCTCTGGCTCTCAAACACCTGTCCCACACGGTGTTGAAAGACTGCGCTCAATCGGTGCAATTCAGACCCTATTGTTTGAAGAGCATAAGGGTCATAACATTGGTGAAGCTAGGCACAATAAGGGTTTAACACAACGGTCGGATGCCAGTGATACAGCACCTATGAGGATGATACAGCGAGCGTATCCAGGTGTAGCTCTGAGTCCCACCCTTGCCATCTCAAATTTATATAGATGATACATAGATGAATCATTTTCTGCGTTCAGTGATGATGCATCTGATACAAGCAGCATAGATGAACAGTGTTAGCGGCTTCCATGGTGGTGTTGTTCATTGATATTTTCAAGAATACCTGAATCTCTTCCTGACTGATGGACACTCTTTGAGGCTCGCTGAATATCTTCCTGACTGATGGACACTCTTTGAGGCTAGCTGAATCTCTTTCTGTGTGGGACCTTACAAAGTGATCTTTTCAAGACTACCTTACAAATTGAGCTTTTCCTATAATCGTTTCAATACTACCTTATGCTTTACAAGCTTGGCTACATACCACCTACAAGTAGTAAAGCCAAGGGTGCACACGAGTGCGTTATTTGCAAGCACACAGAACGATGAAACAGGAAACGAAAATCTATCTGTAGCTGGTGAAAGGAGAGCAAAGTCGCACTGTGTACCATGGACTACTTCGTTGACTATTACACACCTCCAAAGTACTGAGTGAGTAATACAGTGTGTTACTGTGTAAATAGTATGTGAAACTGTACATATTGTAATTTTAGTGAATTTTTACCATGTAATATTGTGACAATAAACATTTATTGTGGACACATTACTGACATGTATCACAGTTCCATGGAAAATTATGAACATTCTACTGTATACATATTGTAAAGGTCACAAATATGCATCATATACGATAAAAGAAACAAATAAAACCGCATTGGAAATGCATAGAAAAAATATTTGAAAATATATTTGTGGCAACACGTGGTGCTTGAATGGCCTGCACGACCGTGTCTGGGAGCTTCACACACAGGCGACCAGGCCCTGATGACGTCACAGCGCACCTTGTCCACGCCCTCACAGCCAAAGTAAGTGGAATTTGGTAATTATTTTTATATAGACATGTTCAGGGAAGGTAATTTATCATTTTGCAAAGAAAAATGATATTTTGGGGAACATTTGATGTCATGCACTCTGGGGGAATTTCACAATAAACACAGTGCATCACACTGGTTACATGGGGGACACTCGTTTTGTATGACGTCCGTTTCACATGATGAACATGGAACGGATTAAATTCGTTATGCGAGGTCCCACTGTATCTGCATGTTTTGTTCACCATAACGAACCACTAAAATGGTATTATGAGTCATAAAGCAACGAGGAGTGACCGCCACACACCAGCCAGCCACTCGCTGCCACACTCCCTCAACACCTCACTCGCCCACATTCTCCTCCCACCATACTGTTTTTGCCTTTATTTACTATATACAGATGTTATAAGTATCTACATTCGTGTCCACCATAACGAACCACTAAGTTGGTATGCTGAGTGGCAGTGGTAGTGGCAGCCAGCCACTGGCTGCCACTCCCTCCCTCCCTCACCTCACCTGACTCGCCACCACTCTCCTCCCACCATACTGTTTTTGCTTTTATATACAGACATTATATACAAGTATCTGCATGTTTTGTTTACCACAGCAAACAACTAAGCTGGTATAGTGAGTCCAGACAGTAAAAAGTGGTCACACAGAGTCAGCAGACAATGATACCTCCCTCCCCACCAAGATTACTCCTCCCACTACAGCGCTAATTATCACAACAATCTTGCTATTATCAGAATCCTGGTCATTTTTATCACAGTCAGGGGTCTTCTGTAATAATATCATTGCTAAATAATAGCATAAACATGCATATTATGGCATTTTTAGGCGATGCTGTGGTCACAAGCTGAACAGCAGTGCTGTGAGCTAATGCTGAGTGCA